TCAGGTCCTATACCCGTATATAACATGTCAGCATATGTGTGTGCACACACGTCAACTTGAATACAACAAATTCCACACATGAGAGAAGCATGCTATCCTTGTTATTGTGATTCTGGTTTATTCACCTAATTTGTTTCCAGTTGCATCTATTTTCCTCAGGCTATGTATCCATACCACATTCTCTTTACACCAGGCTGATTCCATTTGATAAGCTGTATTATTGCTATGCATAAACATGGGTGTGTGAGTATCTGTGGTGTGTCCACTTAGAACCTTCAGGTATCTGCCCAGGAATTGGGTAGTCTTAGATAGTTCTGGTTTTAAAACTTATATAGTATTTATTTATTGAGGGGAAGGGCATGTGCCAAGATGTGAGTCAGGACAACCTATGGGATTCTGCTTTCTCCAACCTGCTTAGAGGATGACTTATGGGAGTCAGTTTTCTCCCTCCACCACATGACTCTTTGTGGTATGATTTATCTTATGCACCAAGCCCTTTAAAGGACCCCCTCACTCCCCCAGTTGCTAGTCAACTGGCCCTTTAAGAATTTCTAACTGTTAGAACTGCTTGACCCTATGACCTTCAGTGTTGTTTGCCTCTTGGATTTCTGGGAACAGGAGCAGATATGAAAAAGCCACCTGAGACTGAGAAAGAAGATTGGGCTCAAAGAGGGAGAGGTGAAGACAGTTAGTGAGAGTTGAGCCAGGAAACACTGAGCTGAGCAGGTAGGCTAGAACAGTCGTTAGAGTTTGGAGCTGCTAGTATTGGGACTGTTTAAGCAGACTGTTGGGAGCCTAAAGGGGGAACAGTTGGGAGAAAACGTTGAAGGGGCTGGACTGGGAAGAGGGCAGGCAGGGAGTTAAGAGAACTGGTTACTTACTATTTGTAAGAAAAGGAGACATTGCAACAGACAAAAACAAAGAATAAAAAACCCTCACATTTTAAAAGTCCCAGTGGCTGAGCTCAAGTCATCAGGCCTGGCAGCAAGCACTTCTATCCCCTGAGCTCTCTCTCCAGCCCTGTCTATGGTTTGTCTTTTGAGGAAACTCCATTGTGGTTTCCATTGGGGCCATCATAGTTTATCTTCCCATCAGTAGTGTGTGAAAATCCTTCTTTCCCACATTTGCCATCGTATTTATTATCTGTTTCCTAGATGATGGCCATTCTGTCTGAGATGAGATAAAAGAGCAGTTGTCATTTCACTTCCCCAGTGGCTGTGGATACGGAATACATTTTCAAATATTTGTTGGCCATTTGTATTTCACCTTTAGGGAAATGTCTTTTATTAGTCCAGTTGTTGGTAGGATGGCTTGTCTTTTTGGTACTCGGTGTTTGGAGTTCCTGGAGATTCTGGACAGCAATCCTGTAGCTCACTGGCAGACTTTGCTCTTATAGTGTAGTTTCTTGCCTCTGCCGGTTATTTCCTCTTCTGTGCTCACTCTTTCACTCAGTCACTCTTCAGTTCTTGGGATTATATCCTGTGCTATCGGAATACGTTTAAGAAAGTCCTTGCTATATTGATGTCTTGAAGTGGTTTTACCTGTTTTCACTTAGTGCTTTCAAAGTATCAGATCTGCATTGCTTTTTTTTCAAAGACTATTTTATGTGTCTGAGTGTGTTCATGGTGACCTCAGAGGCCAGAAGAAGGTAGCAGATCCAGTGGAACTGGAATTGCAAGTGGTTGTAAGCAACCATGTAGGTGCTGGGAACTGAACCCAGGTCTTCTGGAAGAGCAGTAAGCACTAGGAACCTCTGAGCCATCTCTACAGCCCCAAAGTTCAACTCTTATATGAAGGTCTTTGATCCATTTTGAATTGATGTTCGTGCAGGGTAAGAGATAGGAATCTAGTCTCCTTCTATGTGTGGTTATTCAGGGGTTTTTTGTTTGTTTGGTTGTTTTTTGTTTTTGTGTTTTACTTGTGTCTTTTAACTGGGCTGATCTGGAAGTCTTGGGCTCAAGGAATCCTACTGCAACCTAAAGTGCTGGGATTGATTATAGGCATGTGTCAGCAAAAGTAATTTTTAAAGGGTAACCTCCTCAGTTCTGGATTGGACTGAGTGAAGTCATCAGCCCTTAAGGTCAGCACAGCCACACCTGTCTGTCTGTCTGTCTGTCTGACCTAATTGTCTTTCATGTAAACATGTGTTGGCTTTAGTGTGTCATGCTGAATCTACAGTAAGGGGGCTAGTAAGCAGGAAAACAGTTATTTTCTAACAAGAAATAAAAAGCACAAACCAGGTAATTATATGTAAATGGTACAGGGTATTGTAAGTTATTATTATACTAATCAAGAGTTTCAAAATCTTGTTCCTTGCCTATTACCAGAAAATAATAAAGACTTGTTTCGTATTGGTTGGGAAATATAAAACGTGTTTTTGTTTTTGTTTTCCATGTAGTTTGGATGCTCTCCCAAGAGTCACTTGTCCGAATCATCCAGATGCAATTTTAGTTGAGGACTACAGAGCTGGTGATATGATCTGTCCCGAGTGCGGCCTAGTAGTAGGTAAGTAGCTATTAATTTAATTTGAATCGTAATGTATAGTACTTTGCTTTTGTACAATTTTCAAAGTTTTAATAAATACATTTTGACAGCTACTAACCCCCCACACACATAAGTCACAGTTATGATAAAATAAAAAAAAGAAAGAAAGAAAAGAAAAGAAAAGAAAGAAAGAAAGAAAGAAAGAAAGAAAGAAAGAAAGAAATAGGAATGAGTAAGATCTCCAGAGATCGCGTGTAGCATTGCCTGTACATAACCACTGTATGCTGTGTGATGATGTAGGTGGGAAGGCACCAGTGTAGCAGTTTTTGCTTTTAGGTCTGAGGATATAGCTACTTGCTTGCCTAGCACTGTGATAGCCCCCTGGTTCAGTCCTCACAGCTTTATGTTTATTTTCTCACTCATTTGAAAACACAGAAGAGACATAGACTCACACAAAAATTGCACTTGTTGAGCACTGACAGAGAACAGAAGCCATAGTGAAGATTTGTCGCTTTGTTTTACAGTACTGCCAAGGAGGCACAGGGCCTCATGGGTTAGGCAAGCACTCTGTCACTGAGCTGCATTCCCAGCCTTGGAGAGATTGGAGCCACTTAGGAATGAAATTGTTCTTAGCCTTGGGGCTGTAACAGATGCTGATAGCATGTACTGTGCAGTTGTCTTCTTTGCCATCAGTCACCCAGGAAGGCTGCTTACTGCAGACCACACTGAGTATTTGAGGCTTTGTCCCCATGGATGAGCTTATAGTGGGAATTTTAGAACATAGAGACTTACTAGGAGAATGTGAGATCCATTGTCTCTGGGCTCAGCACACAGCTAACACTTGTTCTCAATGTGGCTTTCATGGTAAAAGTTGGCTTTTATACTTTGAAGTGGTTAAGAACAATTGAAATAATACTTTTTCAAGCCAGGTAACTGAAAACCCTCCTACCTCTATCTACTGCCCAGTCACAGGTGTCAACCTTTTATCAACCAGTTAACTTGGGGAGCAAGGTTACAAAGAAAGCATTGCTTAGAGTAGCTGAGGATCTCCTCATGGCTTTTGAATGCATTTGAATTCGTAGCAGCACCAGACCAACCCCAACGTGTTTCATATCCCATTAACTGCTTAGCTGCTGCAGCAGGCACCACAGGCTTGCTCTGATCACCTAGCCCTGATACTCAGTTGCACTGTCTAGTTGTGGAGGACATCAGTGGGCAAGTTGCCATAGTGCAGCATTTTATAGTGTTTATTACTGTCTTGTACCAATGTCACCTTCTTAAGGTAAAGTAGAACAATTAGTTTGTTGATTAGGTAAAGCAGTGCCTTTCTTTGTTATGCAGAGATACTGTAACTATGTAGATGACCATAGACAGTCCAGACATGGCCATGGTAAGCACTCTTCAGAACACCAACTCAGGAAGACAGTGGTCAGAAAAGAGGTAACATGGGATGTTTGATCAGGGTTTCTCTGTGTAGCCCTGGCTGTCCTGGAACTCACTCTGTAGACCAGGCTGGCCTCAAACTCAGAAATCCTCCTGCCTCTGCCTCCCAAGTGCTGGGATTAAAGGCGTGCGCCACCACTGCTCGCAAAATTTCTTAATAATAAATAAATAAATAAATAAATAAATAAATAAATAAATAAACGAACTAGGTGTGGTGTTAACTCAGAGTAGTCATGTTTTCTATATGATATTTGAGTAAAAAGGTGACAATCAGGAATGCAAGGATTTTTTTTATTGGTTATTTTATTTATTTACATTCCCCTCCACAAACCCTCTTTTCCATCTCCCCTCCCCCCTGCTTCTATGAGAGAGCTCCCTACCCACCCACTCTCACCTCACCGCCCTAGTGTTCACCTACATTGGGGCATCAGCATGGAGTCTTCACAGGACCAAGGGCCTCCCCTCCCACTGATGCCAGATAAGGGTGCTACATATGAGGCTGGAGCCTCCATGTATACTCTGTGGTTGGTGGTTTAGTCCTTGGGAGCTCTGGGGGATCTGTTTGGTTGATAATGTTGTTCTTCCTCTGGGATTACAAACCCCTTCAGCTCCTTCAGTCCTTCCCCTAGCTCCTCCATTGGGATCCAAGTGCTTAGTCTGATGGTTGGCTGCAAGCAACCACATCTATATTGGTCAGGCTCAGGCAGAACCTCTCAGGGGACAGCTGTATCAGGCTCCTGTCAGCAAGCACTTCTTGACATCAGCAATAGTGTCTGGGTTTGGTGTCAGCAGATGGGATGGATCCCCAGGTGAGGCAGACTCTGGATGGCCTTTCCTTCAGTCTCTACTCCACATTTTGTCCCTGCATTTCATTTCCTTTAGACAGGAACAATTCTGTGTTTAATATTTTTGAGATGGTGGGTGGCCCCATCAGTTCTCTCTCCCCTTTGTTGAGTATTTCAGCTGATGTCATCCCAGTTGGGTCCTGGGAGCTTTCCTGGCATCAGGGACTTTCTAGTGGCTAACACCAGTTCCCCACTACTGCAACCTCCATTCAGTTTCCTGACCCTCTAAAAAATATGGAACACTTCACAAATTTTTGTGTCATCCTTACACAGGGGCCATGCTAATCTTTGTATCGTTCCAGTTTTAGTCTTAAGCGCTGCCGAATCAAGCACTTTTTTTTGAGAGTGTTGAAAATAGAGCCAAGCAAGCCAACCAGAGTACACCCGGAGTGGCCAGAAGAATCTTAAGACCCACTTAGATTGGGAGATTGGAGAAATCCATTCCATTTTGGCATGAGAACCAATCGAATAACTGTTCAGTATGTCATGATCATTTATTTGACTTTCATTAGAACTATAAAATACGTAGAAATACTATGATTTGACATTAGCTGTTTTATCACTGATTCATATGTGTTGTGGTATGTATGTGTATGTGTGCATGTGTTTGTAAGCTTGCAGAGGTCAGAGGGTAAGTCTTCTATTGTTCCCTTAAGACAGGGTCATTCAGTGAACCCAGAGCTTCTATTCAGCTGGTCAGCAAGCCTCAGGGATCCCCTCGTTTCTACCCATACTCCTCTGCACATGGTTTTTAAGTATGTGACCATGCTGAAGCTTTTAAATGGGTGCTCACAATCTGAATATAGGTCCTCATGTTTATGGAGTAAGGCCTTATAGCAACTGAGCCATCTCCTTAGTAGCCCTGGCTGGCCTGTCACTCAGATCTGCCTAGTGGGACTAAAGGAGTACATTGCCTGCCCCCCACCTCATTTCACCAGTGGGACTGTGTCGCAGTAGAGCTTCAACAGTAGGTGGCAGTACAGTACTGAGGGCATCAGCATGTTCATAACATTTGACCTTGTACATTGCTTGAATGTTGATTTATACTCAGCAGGTTATTGAGTTTGTAGTTGCAGTCGTATCTGATAGAAGATAGAGTTGAGACTAGGGAGTGTAGCTGAGTGGTAGAGGGAATGCCTATCTTGTTTAACTAAACATTGTTCAAACATCCATCAACTCTGCTGGAAAAAGAATGAATGGCATGCCTTGTGAATTGGGATTTCACATTAGTATTGCTTAAAATTAGCAGTTCCACTCCCAGTTAATGCCATGCCATGTTCACAACTAAAGTTAAATTCATCCTTTTAAAAGCAACACAAGACAAATAGATTTGAAAAAGAAATGACTCATTTTAACCTTTTCTTCTAAAATTCAGTTGCCACGTCAAAAGGTAGGTGCCCAAGTGATGTGAACTAGGGAGAATGATTTCCACAGATGACATAGCTTTAGAATGTATTATAATAGATGTAATGCAGGCCGCGTGCTGGGGAGGACGTCCTCTGTGGACCTTGAGTAAGGCGGTAAGGTCTTGAGTAAGGCGGTAAGGTCTCGCTGTAGGGATAGAGAGGCTGCACTGATAGTTTATGTCTACATCAGTGCTACTGTTGACAGCTATGGGGTCTAAGTTTACAAAAATCAACATGCTGTTCAAGGGGAAACACTGGCATGCTTTTGTTCCTAGGATACTTGGGTATGTGTGTGCTTACTAACTGGTAGGCTTCTTGTTCTCAAAGGCTGATTACACATAGGCTTCCTCTTAGAGGTCACATTAGCTAAACATTAGGGCTATTTTATATCATTTGCTTCTTGAAAACATTCTGGATTGCAGTTTTCTTCCTGGAAACTTTTAGATTTTAAGTGGAAATCATTCATATATTCAGTTTGTTTCTGAATGGGCCTGCCTGTCGTTTACTGTGCATGGCTGTGGACTAGTTATACTTCCATGCAGTGCTGTTGGAGTTGCCTGGAAATGGGATTCGTGTAAATGCTGTGGGAGCAGTTGTGTCTGAAAGGGAGGGTTTCTTAGTATACGGCACAGACTCTTGACTGAGTCACTTAAATCAGTCTACATATTTGGAAAGTGTTCCTAATAGCACATTGCTGGGTTTTCCTGTTTATCCTATATGCTAGGCATCTTATCATTATCAGTTTTAAAGTCCACGTTGTCTATTTAAAAGTAGTATAGAGCAATCAGTCAAAGGTATTCTTATGCCAAAAGGAAAATGTTATGAATGAACGATTTTGGCTTGCTGGTGCTTTATCTCCAAAGATTGAGGTAGAATCACAGTAGTATGTAGGCATGCCTGCAAGCCTCTTCATCTGCATTCTGATATACTCATTTCTGTCCGTAAAATATTAGTTAGCTGGCTCTGGTGGCATAATCCCAGCTACTACGGAGGCTGAGGTTAATGTTAAACACCTGCCTGGGCTAGCATGAGTCTCAGGCTGCCCCCCATAACTTAGTAAGACCCTGACACAAAATAAAAACAGACACAGGGCTGACATGTACGGCCCCAGAAGAGGCTCGTATCCCAGCTCAAGTCCCAGGAACTGGTGCTCACCCCAGTGACCACTGAAGTCGTACTTGATGCAATCAAAGCAAGAGGCTTTACTTGGGAACCAGTGCGCTGGGACACGCCTCACACTTCCCACAAGAGGGAAGGAGAGAGAGGGCCCCAAACATCAAAATATACAGGTTTATAAAGACAAAAGCTATAGGCTGGGAGGGGGGCTGGGGAATAGGGGCTTCCTAGGCGGGAACGCTATTGATTGTATTTCTTATTGGCACACACACACAGCTGGGAAACTGAGGAGTCAGGAAGTTCCAGGCAGGAGTTCTCTCTCTCTTATTGGCACACACACAGCTGCAGTTTTCAGAAATATTTTGTATGTTCCTGCCCTGGGACCTTTCCCCGAGAGTTCATGATCCCATGTTATTCTGAGATACTGGCCAATTAAAAATTTTTTCTTACAGACACTGTAGTTCAGAGAACACTTGACCAGCATGATTAAGGCCCTGAGTGCTTGAAAAAATAAAATTATATGTGCTTACTTCACATATATGTAAATGACATTTGGCCTTTTCAGGTTTTGTACTTTGGGGTGAAGGCCTCATTTGTGCATGTTTTTGTTGTGATTTTGCTGACCAGGAAAGCTGGCCTCATTGACTCTGAAAGCACATAGTACCCCCTCACTCACCCTCCCCCTTCCTTGGAGCCACGATCCTCATGCTGGCATGCTAAAATGCCTTGTAACCGAAAGGTCTGTGCCCCACCTTCTCTGCTTGTTCTCAGTGCACATGGACATGACAGGTGGGACACCTCACATGTTGGTCTTTCTCATTCAGACGTGATTGTCCAGGCAATACTCTGGTTACTCTCAAATTCTCTAAAGTTCAAAGAAAGTTGAATTTATAGAAGCCTTCATTAACACATCATTCCATTATAGTAAAGTAGCCGCCTGTGGCCATGGATCAACTGGGTTCACCTGAAAGGGGGGCTGGGAATGAAAGGAGGATGGAGGGTGAGAAGAGATGAAGCCAAGACAAAGTTCTCTGATCAAGGCTCAATGCTTTAATGTTCAGCTCTCAAACATTCTTAAAGGGAAAGGCCCCACCAAAACCCTTTCTTGTTTAAGCTGGAGATGAGTGGGATAATCCATTCTTGGTCATGGCCAGAGATATCTCAAGGCAAGCTCAGGGGCAGCTCTTCTTCTAAGTTTCTTGGTCTGTTGTGGTAAACAAGGTCTTTCAGGCCTGCTCAAAGCTGGGGGAAGGGCACAATTACTAGGTTTATATTATAATTGCTATTCTGTATATATGCTAATTACTGTATTCTATAAAATATTTGGCATGGTATGCATTGAAATGATCTTTTCCCTCCATTCTCCTTGTCACTGAGTAGGTGCTGGCAGAGCCTGGGGACTTGACAGTCTAAGGGCAGCAGAACATCTTTCTTATCACCCCGATTATGGAGAGGACACCTGGCAGTGTCTTAGTTTTTGTAGCAATAGTAGACAGCATGGAGGACTTGTAGTTGCTTTTAAGGAGCTGTACTCATTTAACCCTTACAGCCTTTAAAGTGTGAGGTTACTGGGCACCTAAAGCTGAAGAAATACAGTATAAAAGAAAATAATGGGGCCTGTCAGGATGGCTCAGCAGATAAGAGTGGTTCCCACCGGGCCTGACGAACTAAGTCACCCACCTGAACCCACATGGTAGAAGGAGAGACTTCTCTGCATTCAAAATAAGGAAATGTAATTGAAAATTAAGATTTTTATTTTAAATTATTTGTATACATCTGTAGCAGATGTGTGCACAGGAGTCAACAAGTTCCTGTAGAGAGAGTGTATGGAGTCTTTAGAGCTGGTTGTAGTTGTGAGTGCTGAGAACCAAATCTAGGTCCTCTGGTGAAATGACATGTGCTCTTAACTGCTGAACCATGTCCTCATCCCTCCATCTTAAATTTTCTTAGATTTTCCAAAGCTAAGTAGCAGCTTGGCGTCTCACATTGTAACCATTGTATTCACTGGCTGTCCATATGGAGACTTATTGTAGTAGCAGGCAAAGATGACCACGGTGAGTTTTCAACAGTCCTGTGGCAGAATTCATTGAAGGAGTTCAGTGGAATAAGTTGGAATCTGATACACATTTCAAGCTTTGTGATCTTTGGCCAATTAACCTCATTTGTGAAGTGCCAGTGAAAGTGTTATCTGTGTTTATATAGCTCTGGGGATTAAATGGTGACTTTTACTATGGGCACACTGATCAGCATGTGTTTCAGTGTTCAGTGCTATCTCCGTTTGCTTCAAAGATGTTTCCAGACATTGAGTCCTTCCGCTAAAGTAGTTCCAGTGAGGCCTATTCATGTCATGGGTTTTGATGTCAGATACCTAACCACAGCCTCTTTGCTTGAAAAGTATGCCCATCGTCCTTTTTAAATTCTGCCTTTTAAATTTTATTCTGAGTTATTCTCTCTCTTTCCTCATCTCTCTTTCTGTCTTGTCTGTCTGTCTGTCTTTGTTTTTTTATGAGACAAAGCCTGGAATTCATGGGGATCCAGATTATCTGCCTGCCTCCTCTATCTGAGTGCTGGGATAAAAGGCTTGCACCACCACACCTGGTTTCATTATTCTTCTTTGTATCACATAAGAATAATTTTATTATTTCACTTTGCTCTTGGAGGCCAGGTCTTCCTATGTGTATGTAGTCAGTGTAACCATGAGTTCTCTATTATGCTTCAGCCTCCCAAATGCTACCATACTAAATAGAGGCATAGACTACCATGCTAGCTTTTTCTTTTTGCTATTTTTTAACTAATTTTTTTTCTTGTAAG